CGATCATGGATTACAAAAAATTCTATTATGGGTTACAAAAAATTCGATCATGGATTACAAAAAATCTATCATGGATTAACCAAAAAAAAAAAAAAAAAAAAAAAAAAAAATACCGTACGGAATCGCCGATTCACTGTTCGGACTCGCCGATTCTGTACAGTGAATCGGCGATTCACTGTACAGAATCGTCCGGTTCTCTCTAGAACCGGACGATTTCCGATTTTTGGGCGATCCGGTTCCTTTTTCACTATTTTCGAGTCGAACCGGGCGAGTCCGGTTCGACTCGGCGTTTTTTAAAACGCTGCCAGCAACTATTGTGAATAAGAGAGTTAATTCCAAGGATGTATTGATCTTTCTAACTTGCAACCCACCAATAACATGGAGTCGCTCTTAGCCTCCAACTTCTTGAAATTAAGTACCTTCACTAATGGGACTCCCATCTTTGGGCATGATCTCCGCTACATAATTTGAATCAAGTCGTAGAGTGGCAAAGAAATCAGCCAACCACAAAAAGCGGTCATTCATCATCATCATCACAACCATTTCCTAATAATTAAGAACCACAAAACAGCCATTATGATCACAAATTACAACCACACTACCTGTGTTTCCTAGATTACCAAATGAAGTAAAATCGATCTTAAACTTCAAGCAATCTAGTGGGGGAGCCAACAAGCAAATTTGAAAGATCCTTGGAGGGGGGCACTTGGTAAAGAAAGACCTATGTGATCTTTTATAGAGGAATACATTTTTTTTTTTTTCTTCACCCTTTTCTTTTGGCAAAAGATCATTTACAGGTGGTCTTTATTATAATAAGATAAATTTCAAAATAAAATCAACATAACAATAAAACCAAAATCTTAACAACTCGATGCCATTGAAACAACTATGGCTCGGAAACAAAAGGAAGAGTGCCGAAAATTATCTCAACCGGGCTTATTACCCCCCACACCGAATCACCACCATCCGATGGCACGGGATCAACGGTCTAGCTTCAATCTCGAATCAGGAAAGCAAATTTCGGCCAAGCCACACCAATGGAATATGAACCCCTTTGATTACAAACTCAAACCCTTGGTGAATTCTCTTAGCAACCTAGGTGAATTCTTTTAGCAACCTAGCTTGATAGAGATGTATTCTCTTTTTGCTAAATCTTAAAACCTTTAGCCATAAATCCATATTTGAGAAATAAGAGAGAGAAGAACTTCATAACCTAAACCCTTAGGTTCTTTCACAATGTGGGAGAGAGAGATCAAACATGAGAGAGAAACTTTTTTAAGAGAGAGATAGAAAGATAAGGTGTAGAGATTTTGGGTAAAAACATTCCCTTTTTATAGGCTTGAACAAGATTAGAGTTTCATAGGGTTTTCTTTAGCTTGCCTCTTCTTGGGAGATTGAACATAGACCGTCTATCAAGGGTGACTTGTGGGGTGAGAGATCTGAGCCAACCATTCCATAGATGGGTCATCAATATTATGGAAGGTGCATGGACCATTATCCCTTTTTCCTTAACTATTTTCCTATCAATAGAAATTAAATAAATTAAATTTAATTAAAATATTATGCATTCCATAATCTTTTCACAAAATATTTTAAAGATATATCAAGTCAATATACACTTTCAATATTTGGCCAATATATATAGTCAAAATATTTTATATCTTATTTGACCACATGCCATAACATATACTACCAAAACATGAAATAACTTAAACTCCAAGAAAGAATCCAATTGGTGGGGTGTGCCTGCGGCACATGTAGGCCCCACCCACTTTACACATGGTGGGCCCATGTGCACTATGGGCCCCTCCATGATATTTTATATAATTTTAAATTATCAAAAAAAATTCTAAAACATTATTTGAATTTTATAATTTTATAAAATCAATATCTTTATTTTTATAAGTCCAAAAAAATTATAAATAAAATATCAAATGACTCATAAAAATTCAAATAATAATTTTAAAATAATTTCTATCATAAAACAAACTTAATTAAATTAACTTGATGGGTAATGGATTCATATAGTTAAAGAATTTAATTTGCAGTCATAGGGCACTCTACCTTCAACTGTGGACTACAGACCACACTTGCCTTATTGAACCGACCCAGCGTTTCTTATGACCCACAGTCCAAGCAGAGGCCATTAACGGGTCACCGAAGTCTGACGGATGAGCCAAGGGGTCGCAATTTCAGTCT